GTCACACATTGTATCCATGTGGGAATCGGAGAGCATGATATCAACATATTCCGATTTATTCAAAACCAACTTCCTCGAACTATCGAGGTTAGTGAGGGCGAACATTAGAAGTAAGGATATTACTGATAGAATTAATCTGCCGATGTGAAGTATCTGCTACCTGTGGCGATATCAGTCAAGTGAGTGAGTGAGTGAGTTTAGTTTTATGCCGCACTCAGCAATATTCCAGCTATATGGCGGCGGTCTGTAAATAATCGAGTCTGGACAAGACAATCCAGTGATCAACAGCATGAGCATCGACCTGCGCAATTAGGAACCGATGACATGTGTCAACCAAGTCAGCGAGCCCTGTTAGTCGCCTCTTCCGACAAGCATGGGTTGCTGAAGAGCAATATTCTAACCCGGACCTCTGTTCTCTTTATAATGTTCCTGACATTTGGTTTTTCTCCGATCATGCACTTTATCTGCGATTTCTGATTTTGGGATTGGGGTGGATAGTGCTTGCATCATGGAAACAGCTCATTGCTTTCCATATCTTCATCTGACCCATATGAGTTGCATTTAGGAGTTAGTGTAATGAACAAAGTCAAATTCCTGTGGATAATCAACTTTTTAATATAATGTTTTTGTATAATAATGAGTCTGATACCTTTATTAAGCAAATCACCAAGCATACCGGTTATGTTTGCAGTCGAATAATGCATCACCAAGACCATCATGATATAAATAAACCAACCTCAGAATACAATACAATTCTTATAGTTGCCTGGAGTTTTAACAACACGTCTAGATGACGCAACACAACACGTTTCAGATAAATATATTTGTATTTTTGTAATTAGAATTAGGCCAGAATTGCACTTGTAATGCTTTAGTTGGTGCTCGTCATCCTTTATAGAAATGACTGTATTTTATATAACACTGACTGATTGTGTTAACACATACAAAATGGTTTCTTTCTAATCTGTTCATGATAAGGTTTCGTATGGAATGTTGATAAAGTCGTGTTCTTTTGACACTTATCCTCTAGCGAATTCCTTTTGATGAGAGTCACGTGTTATCTGTGTTATCAATTTATAGCTTAATCTTTTTATGTTGTTGATTTTTTCAAAAGCAGAGAATGGTAATTTGTTTGACAAAGCCATCTATTCATGTTTATACAATTTACGACAATATACTTTTGTGTTACTGTAAATAATGAACAAGTCCATAACACGCAAGTAATGAACCAGAGCACTCTTTGGTACGTGGTTTAGGACCTGATTCGTGTACAGAGTTGTCTCCCTTAGTCAATGGCTTTCTTTGCGCTGTGGAAGACGGAATCCAAATACTCATGATCTGTATATGCTTTGTGGTGTTTAAAAGGAAACCCGTTGACTAGTGCAAGTACAAAAACCCTTCATTTAAACTTCCTTCAACTCATTGTCATGAAAATATGGAGAACACTATTGAAGTTTTTTAAATGCATTTAGTTGGACGAACGTGAACGTTTAGCTCTGTAGCATATATAGAATATAAAGAAGTTGTTGTCCATAAAAATGTGTCATGTATTCGATAAACACAATTATCCGAAACTTTTCAAAATGGACAGGTTCAGTATATACTCGATATATATGGAAGGATTTGTAATTAAATAATACACAATTTGTTAGATCTGTTTAGGGTACAAGCAGGAACCCACACTATCGGTCTACGAGGAGTAAATCAATAGGTAGACTCTGTCAATTATTATATTCTACATGCAACCAATCAGTTTGTGTATAATGTAGAAGTTAATCCCGTATACTGGATTGATGGCTGGTTCTATTTGTTGTCCATATTCTCCACCTGGATTAATCTAATTATCTTAGATCTACATGTTATCAATCATTTGAGGTTGTTTGTTATCTGCTGTTTATCACCATGGCCAGCATTTTTTTTGTGTGTTTCTCATCGCCCTACCGACCCTTCTAATTTTATTGCCGACACCCCCCAAAACTGGATTTTCTCGTTCCAACACCGCCGACTCGAACCTAAAACGTACCGCCTCGTCATATTAAATGTTTATCTTTTAATCAGACGCTGCCACAAGTCCAAAGAACGCGAGAAATTGTAATAAGAATTACAATAAATGAGAACGGTGTAAGAATCTACATCGAAACGTCGCTCTGTGCATGAAGGAAGTTGTTATCCATAAAGTCGTATGCTAAGTTAATGTCTCGCGGACATCTGGAATGACGACCACGAGGTTACATGGTTTATAAAACCATCAACTATATATAAGATTTTTAAAAACTACATAAGGCCAAAGTAGCAAAAAGGACGAAGCTTTGCAATGAAGATCTACGAGATTTAATAATTGAACAAACCCCAGCGAATCAAGACACCATTAATGTTATAAAAACTCTGATAATAAATGCCTTGTTTTACGTTTCTACATTTGCATACTGTTTACTTAATACCACACTACACGCAGAAAAATAACGCGTTTTTCTATTTCTTTAACATGAACATGTCTATGAACATGAAAAAATCTTTGTACCAAGTGGAATGTCTTTTGAAGGCCATGCCGCGTGTTCAGTAGTACCTCGAACCGAAACATGAGTCTCATTAACCAATTCAGACAATGACCTTCTTTTCAGCCGATCCGAATTTTCTCGTGGGAAAGTGAAAAGAGACATTACAAACAACTATGGTTACACTCAATTCGAATTTCCTACTTCATAGGAAAATGGTATGTACAAATTAATCTTAGTTTTAAGGTTTAATAAAATCGTATTTCAATATTTTATGTCGCGGTTTAGGCAGCATGTCGTTAACAAAGACGTCACAGACTGATTCACAATTCATCTATCTCACTGGTTACACCTGTTATGTGTCTTTTGTGACTATGTTATGTCTTTTTGTAACGTACAATGTGATTGATATAATATCAAGTCCGTACCGGATCGCCAAACTTTTCTAGCGGCCGAGCCTCGTTTTGGGATTTCTACGATTTCCAGATTTCCGTTTCTCAGAGCACGTTGTACGACAAAGCACGCTGCACGACGTGTTTGCAAGGATTAGAAGGAGCGTACTGATGCAATATACAAGTGATTAGATGTATCAAATAATCCTGATTAATATCTATATACCCAGTTGACTGAGGTGGTCTCAAAATTCTGGACTGGTTATTCTACTAAGTTGCGCAATAGGACGGAACCCAGTCAGCAGGAATCGAGACTGTTCTGTAGTCAATGATTTGACTTGGCCACCTCGTCTGCAATTCCCCGTGTTTCTCCTGTAGTGTTCAACACTCTATATCCTTTGAATCATCAATTTCTGGGGGCGGTGGGGTAACCAAGTGGTTCGCACGTCATGCCGAAGATCCGGTTTCGACTCCCCACATGGGTACATTGTGCGAAGCCCATTTCTGGTGTCACCCGCCGTGATATAGCTGGAATATTGCTAAATGCGGCGTAAAACCAACTCACTCACTCACTCACTTATCAGTTTCTGAGAATCAATGTTGATTTCTTGGCTTAAGGGATAAGGGTGAGTCATGTTTCATGTTTCTTAATATGGAGGTCGTTCTATGAACTAACCTCTGATACACGCGACGTTTAAGATATGACGTCATGAAATTCGTACAGACCAACCAACTGACTTGTAAGGAGGTGTCAAGCACACATCGACTGACCAATCAGAAACTGCGACGCACAATGATTGGAGTGACGTTGCGGGGATTTTCAGCCGTGAAAAAAGTCATAACCCGAAGTAAGGGGTGGTCGTCGTTATTCTCAGAACACATGGTGTGTACATCAGCAATTCGAGATATCGCCTTATCTGACATACATTTATGACCCGGACATAAACCCTAACGGAATATCTAGCAGGTATTGTAGGTGATCACGCTCGTTATCAGAAGACGGGTACGGCCGTCACCCCAGTTACATCCCACGAATAATGACATTATTTAATGCAAACAAAAGCCCCATGATGCCACTTTTGCACCGTCTATATGTGCAGTGGGTAAATATTTACCTTTAGTATTAATGCCTTTATCAGCCAGACACTTGAGGTGAATCAGTGCACTAACAATACCCAGGGGTGGGGGCGACTAACAGGATCGAGTTGGTGTCTTACATTCGAGAAACACATACACGTTATCTCACCCCAGATAGTTCGTGTTGAGCCCAAGTATTTCGAGAGAGTATAAAGCGTCTCCGCTAGAAATTCTTAAAGTTCAAAGTCAATACATTATCCCTGACCTCAAACTTCATTCGTTTCTTTAACTAGACAGACCCTCCAACAGTTCATATTTCGATCGGCACGACGATACGCTTGGGGACCTATTCTGTTTAGTTTGTTTTTGTTTGTTGTTTAACGCCGCGCCCGCAATATTCCAACTACATGGTGGTGGTCTGTAAATAATCAAGTCTGGATCAGACAATCCTGTGATCAACATCATGAGCATCGATCTGCGCTACTGGAATACAACAGCATGCGTCAACCAAGCTAGCGAGCCTGGGCACCCGATCCCGTTAGTCGCCTCTTACGACGAGCATGGGTTACTGAAGAACAATTCTAACCAAGGTCTTCACTGGTCAAATGAGTGAGTGAGTGAGTGAGTTAAAATTTATAGTCACATCGGCAATATTTCAGCCATAAATTAACAATAAACGCAATTACATTATTAAACACCTGTCAACGAAGGACAGTAAAACAACTAGATTATCACAGGAATAAATTTAAGACTAGTAATTAAATCTAAAATATTTTACTTTTAAATGACAATACAATATAAAAACCGGCTATAGATTGCCAACAATTGAAGGTAGATCACCAAGGACTTATTCTATCCTGAATGCTTACGAGGAATACTATTTTAGGAACCAAACAGACACATCTACGGCTCCGACAAGCCAAGGACTGTGATCAGAGATAAACAGAAACTTGAACCTTGATCCGTAACTAACACGACCCACTCAGCAATGACTGTTCGGCCAACCATGTCTCGAAATAAAAACAGAACAAGATACTAATAAAAATGCATTTTATTGTGAAAAGTTCTCCATTAAAACAACAAAAGCCTGTGTTTAGACATTATTAGATCCTACGAAGCAACGTGTATCATAAATTCATAATTAAAAGATTACACGTATGGAAAGCATTATAGTGTGCAGTTACACGATGATTACGACTCCATCAATTCTTTCAACAAAATATTTAATATCTGTTGCGTATCACACTGGATGTGCTATATACTTGTCAGTCAGATAGCTCTCAGAGCCATAAACTTACAAACATGCTGTATGAAGAATACAATATGAATCCGTCCATTCGTTCAACAAAATATTTAATATCCGTTGCGCATTACATTTTATGTTATGTACTTATCAAACAGATAGATCTGAGATCCACAAATATATAAACAAGCTGCATGATGAATATAAATCCGTCCATTCTTACGAAACATTTAATACGTATGTCGAATAATACATTCTGTGCATATTGTACCTGTCAATCAAATAATTCTGAGACACCCCCCAAAAAAATATATATATATATATATCAATCCGACCATTTTTCAAAACATATAATGCGTATGTGCATATTGTACCTGTCAATCAAATATATCTGAGAACCGCATCCCCAACCCACCCCCAACCCACCCCCAAATTAAACAGACACGCTATGTGATGACAATATCCAGCGTCTTTCAGCGAAAGGGGATTCCCACTTCCACTCCTCCGCGATGTGTCAGTACTTTGGGGGATAGGCTGCAGGGGCAACCGGGTAGGGTGGGGTTGTTTGGGGTTCCGGGTAGGCGGGGGGAGGGTATTGTGACATCTGTTGGTTACCGTAGGCGCCCTGATCTGCAAATAGTCAAATTTATGCAGGTTTCAGATCAGACTGTTTCATAAATTATAGTTATGTTATTGCTTCATTTATCTTGCAAAAGATCAATCAGGGATATAACCCTCGGAGTATTTCTGAAACATGAAGCTTAATTTGGATTTCTTTATGTGACAGATACAAGTTTGAATTTCCATATTCATTATACTTTAATGTTGATATTATGCGGTAGCATTGGATGCCCAGTCGTCTAAGGCGACGCAATTCACTGTGTTGGACACGCCAGAAATCTATGAATGTCGAATCGGGTGTCGAATCCCATTTTGCCTTGTTAAGGTTTCCATGTTCCAACACCATACATTGCTCGTTGGTCTCACCGAAGTGGTAAAACTTCTGAGATGCGTATCATTTCGTGCTTTTCTCACCCACTCATTCAATCACTCTCACCCACCCACCCACTCACTCAATCACTCACTCACCCAAACCACACCCACCCACTCACTAACTCACTCACTTACTCACTCACCCACACACCAACTCACTCACTCACTCACTTATTCACTCACTCACTTACTCACTCACTTTGAACAATATTTCAGCTATATCAGTGCGTGACAACTACATGGAGGAGCAAAATGATGCAAAGGTTGGCGATGTTACACGACGTACACGTAAATGACCCAATGCGTATGGTGCCAATAAACCAACAAACATTAGCATAGCAAATCTGGGATTCGAACCCATGGTTTTCTGTCGCCAATCTCTACACAACAAATTCCAAGCCTCCATGGAAATTTTAACCACAGGCAAACTGTAGCGCAAATAGGGTTGCGCAACAGAGAAAAAATGACCAGACCACCCAATTGCGAAGCGAACAAAGGTTGGCAACGTACTTCCCTCGCTTCGATTCGAAAAATATTTTTAATATCAAAATAAAATATCGCCACCAACAAAGGTGGACACCCATTTCCTCACAGGGTTGTGCTCTCATGATTTCCAACCTCACATTGATGATTAAAATATAGTTAATTCAACATTTTAAGCGCCATTCATGGCATATCAAATCGTTCTTCGCTTCCATTACCTCTGCCGGCGCAACGAAGTGAAGGAACAGGGGAGTTAAATCTAAATATACTTGTTGACTCATATGTCCGTCATATGTAATACTTACGGAGTTACCTTCCTTGCTTCATCACCCAGTACAACAACAGTGTGTTGTTTTTTTCTTCTTCTTTTTCCAGTAGAATAAATGTTACGAAAATTCTAACAATAATGACGGCAGATAAGAAAAACAATCTTCAACAGTTTAACGGTAAAATTAGGTAATATGATCTTTCTTTTCAATTTCTGCTTATTCTTGTTCCTTCACTCCGTTGAACCGGAAGCTGGCAGGGGTAATGGAGGCGAGGAACGATTTGACATGCCACGAGTGACGCTGTTAAAATGTTGAATTTAATATATTCTAGGTGAGTAATTATTAAATATGAGGTAAGAAATATGAGAACACAACCCTGTGAGGAAATGGGTGTCTACCTTTGATGGTGGCGATATGTTATTTTCATATTAGAAATATTTTTCGAACCGAAGCGAGGGAAGTACGTTGCCAAGACTGGTCATCCAAGCTTTGCTCGCTTCTCTCGCATATAGTAAGACTGGTCAGTTTAGTCTTTGTTGCGCAGCCCTATTTGCGCTTCAGTTTGCCTTTGGTGTAACAAAGGTACATAGATTCGTGGAAAGTATCCATACTTGCGGTGTTTGTAACCACTGCAACGGAAGCGGCCTGAGTGTTATGTTTCACAGTAGCCTGGTTCAGGTTATTTCTTCTTCGAGCATGTCGACAGCATGCTCCTATGCAACTCAGGACAACTACCAGACACCCGCAGATGATACCAATGCCGGCTCTGAAATGATAATAATAATGATTAAAAGTGAGTGAGTGAATATGTTTTTACGCCGCTTTTAGCACTATTCCTAGCAATTTCACGGCAGGGGACACCAGAAATGGGCTCCATTCATTGTACTCATATCAGGAATCGAACCCGGGTCTTCGGCGTGACGAGCGAACGCTTTAACCACTAGGCTATCCCACCGCCCCGGAATTTGGGAAATACGTAGGGTGTGACATCATTGCATGCATAATCTACACTGTAAACATGAGGTGAATCAAAGCTGATATGTTTAGATATAAACTGACACATATTCTGTTTCACCAGAAACAGTGTAACACTGAAGCATGTGTTTCTGTTTTATCGTGGTGACCTTTCCGGTCAAGTTTGTGTACAAGAGTTATTGATAGTGTTGAGGCCGCTCAACAATATGGAGGTAAGGCACATTATGCACTTGTTGAAGTTTCGACTTGACATTTGTTTCTCGTCAAGGAAGTACTATAATACATTTTGTCCCTCAAACACACGTTCTTGACGATTCGATCCCTGTTCCTGACATACTTGAAGTTTAAAGATCATACTGACAACGTTCCGTTACAATCGACACCAAGAGGATAAAAATCTGGACTGACTGATAAGCTGTAAACTGTGTCAGGGATTATCCAAGTTAACTTGCAGTAGTGTATCCCCAGCATTGTATCCCCAACATTGTATCCTCAGCATTGTATCCCCAGCATTGAATCCTAAGCATTGACTCCCAAGCATTATATCCCAGCATTGTATCCTCAGCATTGTATCCCCAGCATTGAATCCTAAGCATTGACTCCCAAGCATTATATCCCAGCATTGTATCCCAAGCATTGTATTCCCAAGCATTGCATCCCCAGCATTGAATCCTAAGCATTGACTCCCAAGCATTATATCCCAGCATTGTATCCCAAGCATTGTATTCTCAAGCATTGTATCCCCAGCATTGTATCCTCAGCATTGTATCCCCAGCATTGAATCCCAAGCATTGTATCCCCAGCATTGAATTCCCAAGCATTGTATCCTAAGCATTGTATCCCAGCATTTTATCCCCAGCAATGTGGGTAATGCGGTTAACGAGGTATTAGTCATCACAATATATTGGGGTAAAATATTTCAACAAAAATTGCCGAAAATGAGAAACGATCTGTCATATTGTACATTGTACTTTCAAATTGCTTCTTATGCACTTTAAAATCTAAGTTTGATTCTAGCAGACCTCTACCTAACTGAAACACACAAACTGTTTCTCCACATTTTGTTTCCTGAATTTTGTGATTAATCGCAGATTTTGCGGTTTGGGGGATACCAAGATAAAAGGTCAAACTAATCGTGAGGCTGAAACATAGCAAAACCAATTTCATTGAGTTGACAGATAAAATGTAGAAAAATAAAACATAAAAACAGCTGAATTTGTATCAGTTTTTAGGTGAGGCGGACTACTTTTTGACCGACCCTCATACTTCCTGTGAGCTTCAGTAATTGAACGACCCGTCAGCTTCACGTAGTTGGCCATAAGTAAGTCATCATTAGTGAAATTCCCATAGACTTACATGTTAATTAACTGCTGCAAGAATAATTTTCATAAATCTAGTTTCGGTGGAATTGCTTTCAGTACTTTTCTACTATGTGGGAAATCATCTCAGCTACATATACATAAATCCCATTCAATTTTCCGATGATTATTAAGAAAACTGCAACTATTTAAACAACATATATTGGACGTACCAATCAGGTTTAACATGGCTGTCTATAGGATAGAGTAAAAGTTGAACTTATACATGGTGCTTAATCAGGTGTCATTCGATAACTAATCAACGGAAATATGAAAGAACATTTTGTACGTGTAGCTGAAGATGTTTGCCAAATATCAAAATAGAATTACTTCTACTCAGTTTATTAAAACTATTCTTTCAACAGTTAATTAACATGTAAGTGTATGGAAATTTCACTAATGATGACTCATCCATGGCCAACTACTGCAGAAGTGATACAGCCATCAAACATTGACCACTTTGACTAAACCCACGAGAACAGGTTTCAACTGATTATTTTTTTGGCATTCTAGAAGTTGGGCATCAATAATGAAGCATACGACTTTATGGATAAAAGCCTGTTCCTTGGAAAGGAAAGTCGAAACTCAGTTTCTAAATTCCCTGAAAACAGTCAAGGATCAGTTTAATTAGTCACGACCTATCTAACATTTCCCGAACTGCCTTTTCATTTACCTTGACCTGTTTTGAAGAAAAAAAACATCGATTTCCTTTATAATATCATCAGTTAAGTTAACAGTAATAGGGATTCTGTGGGAACTCATCGTTTTATATTTGGAGTGAAGATAGTGTTACAATATGATATTCAGCCCGGCCAACCAATAGCCGGGTTGGCACTGGGACTGAGTTGCTGCGTCGCTTCCATTTGGATGTCAACAACAAAAAGATGCTCACGGTTACCATAATAATGCTTGACGTCTAAAATACCGTTGACAAACAACTGAAATACCCTTTCAAAAGGTCGTATAAACGATGGCGCACAGGCACACAGGCACACAGGCACACGCGCACACATAATGTTGATCATTACTTACCCGTTACTCAAACAACAGTAAACATATAATTCGTCCTCACAACATCCGAAAATACAGGTGATTGACTCGTCCGCCCCGTAGCAAGTTTCAGCTAGTGCACCTGAAGAACACAAAGAAAAATGACGCCCTTATGTCTTGTAATCACCATCGTTAGAATGCCATGTTGGATCTTTCACTGAATCAAATTGTACATTTTTACAGGTAAAATCAGAATAATGATGTCCGTATGTCTTCTAATCTTACTCGTTAGCATGTCATGCTGGATCTCTCACTGAATCAATGTGTACTTTAGTACAGCTAAAATCAGAATAAAGGCGTCCTTGTGTCCTGCAATCTCCCTCGTTAGAATGTTATGCTGGATCTCTCACTGAATCAAAGTGTATCTTACTGCAGGTAAAATCAGACATCTATTCATCAAATCATCAAAGTTGCAATTAAACCAGACGATGTAATGATACCAAGTTTTGATATAACGGAAAATTGTAAATGAGAGCATGTCAATAAATACCCGAAATGTCATAGTCTGGATTAGGTCATCAAAGTTGAAGGAAAACCAAGTTCTATGGAATTCCTTTATGTTTTTATACCCAATACACCGCTTCTCAGAAAAAATACATATCATCTGAAAAGCGTATTGTGGTATGCCGTTATACCGGCAATAGCGTGCAGCCCATATATTTGGGATTACACCATGTCGGTAAGGAACAAAGTTTCGTTCTTTTTGTGGGGTTAAGTCCCTTTTGGGAGTAAAGCACCTAATCGCCAATCACAAGTCAGCGATGTTAGCTGTTTTGTTTGCTTCTGTTTGTTTGGGGGTTTTTTTCTTTGGTTGTTTAATTCTGCACTCAGCGATGTTTGCGCTATGTGGATAATTGAGCCTGGACCAAACAATCCAATGACAGACATCATGAGCATCGATCTACGGCACTGGGATACGATGACATGCATTGTAATGTATATGCATGTAAATAATAATTGCATCTTACAGTCAAAAATAGTTTCTATAAAGTGTCACGTGGTAGGGTAGCCTAGTGGTTAAAGCGTTCGCACGTCAAGCTCAAGGCCCGGGTTCGCTTCACCGCTCCATGGGTATATGGTGGGAAGCCCATTTCTGTTGCCCCCCGCCATGATAGTGCTGGAATATTGCTAAACGAGGCGTAAAACAATACTACCTCAGACCGACTCTGAACTGTTAATCTTGAAAAATATACATACACAATGTTACTGATATCATGTATCATGGTACATGTACTTTAAATAATCTGACCGCCTCCGTGGTGTAGTGGTTAGAGCACCCACCCGGAGAGCGGAAGATCGCGGGTTTCATCCCCGGCAGCGTCATACCGAAAGACGCTAAAATATGGTACTTGTTGGTCCCTGCCTGGCGCTCGGCATCAATGGGTACAACGAGGACTGGTCGGCTCGGAGTCAGTATAATGTGTCTGAGTGTGATAATCATGCTTAACTGCGGCGGCATCTCAGTGAGCTAGCACTATCAAACCAGCTTAAGTCTGGGCAAGTACAAGCAGCCACACATACACAAGAATGCACGTCATGTGAGCGAAATATTCTTAAGTACGAAGTTAAACCCCATTTCACCTCACCTTAAATAATATTTTCAAAACAATAATAAAATCGTAATATTTAATGTAAAATGGTCATAAATCTAATATTGATATTTCTACATATACGTACCATGAATACAGCACAAGCAGATCCACACCATCGGTAGATGATTCCACGCCATGACCCATGCAGCGACGTCAGGCGGTGTTTCAATGAAGCAGAGACACCTATCTCCTTGCGCACCTTGAAGTACCGTTAGGTCTTGCGTACTGCCGAAAGTAACTCTTGGTTGCCCTATTTTCAGCTTACAATAGACTTCCTAATTCGATTATGTTACAATGCCATGCAAACTTGCAACGCTTGAACAACTTCCTGTTGGCTCACGCAATTATCCTGACACGATTGTATTTGCCTTTCAAGGAAATTCTTCAGACTGGTTATCCGTTATGTGTTGTCATACACTATTTCAAACACATCTTGGTGTCAGTTCTGAGGATAAGAGACCCGTAAAGGTCCGGTCTGTAAATAATCGAGTCTGGACCAGACAATCCAGTGATCAACAGCATGTGCATCGATCTGCGCAATTGGGAACCGATGACATGTGTCAACCAAGTCAGCGAGCCTGACCACCCGATCCCGTTAGTCGCCTCTTACGACAAGCATGGGTTACTGAAGATCAATATTCTAACCCGGACCTTCACGGGTCTTTTTGACAATAACCAGCATTGCTTCTGAAGATGGCCGACCCACATAGTTCCAGATCAGGAATTAAATTGTTGAAATATATTTTTACGAAAAGCATTTGAAATTGAATCAGTAATGGCATTAACAAAATACTTCCAACAAATACTTCCTCAAGGAAACTTTAAGCACTTTAGCAGGATCTAATGCCAAGACTTCAATCCACCATGGGCTTCATAATTCAGTGTAAACAGATTCTATTGAACACAAACAAAGGAAGGGTGACAGCATATGGCCTCTCAAAGAAGTTATCTCAAACAAAGACTGAATGTCATCGAGGCAAATGAGGAAAGTTTTGACCAACAGAAACAACACCTGCAGGTGTAATCACTACTGAAATATCACAAAAATGTTAGATCCTTTTTAACGCCCTTTTTAACATTCTCAATTGAAATATGAGCCTCTAAAGAGTTGCCACGGAAACACACACAAGGAAAATGTTTCATAAATGGCTTTTGAACAGTCATTGTAAGGATAACATGCTTTTCACCTCCTTGATGACGAGTGGTATATCTAGCGCATATTCTTCTCACAAGTTAATGTTTTACAAGAATTGAGAAGGCGTAGGAGTGGTTCTGCTAAACGTGAAATGTATGCGTTACATTTGATGCATGAGATTACATTTCATGTATGTGTTACACTTCATCTATGTGCTACATTTCATGTATGAGATTACATTTCATGTATGAGATTACATTATATGTATGAGATTACATTTCATGTATGAGATGACATTATATGTATGAGATTACATTTCATCTATGTGCTATACTTCATGTATGAGATTACATTTGATGCATGAGATTACATTATATGTATGAGATTACATTTGATGCATGAGATTACATTATATGTATGAGATTACATTTCATCTATGTGCTACATTTCATGTATGAGATTACATTTCATGTATGAGATTACATTATATGTATGAGATTACATTTCATCTATGTGCTACATTTCATGTATGAGATTACATTATATGTATGAGAGTACATTTCATGTATGTGTTACACTTCATCTATGTGTTACATTTCATGTATGAGATTACATTTCATGTATGAGATTACATTATATGTATGAGATTACATTTCATGTAAGTTAGATTACCCTATATGTATGAGATTACATTTCATGTATGAGATTACATTATATGTATGAGATTACATTTCATCTAGATTACTACATTATCATGTATGAGATTACATTTCACATGAGATTACAGGTATATATATGGATGAGATTACATGTATCTATGTGATTACATTTCATGTATGAGATTACATTTCATGCATGAGATTACATTATATGTATGAGATTACATTTCATCTATGTGCTACATTTCATGTATGAGATTACATTTCATGTATGTGTTACAATTCATCTATGTGCTACATTTCATGTATGAGATTACATTTCATGTATGAGATTACAGTATATGTATGAGATTACATTTCATGTATGAGATTACATTATGTGTATGAGATTACATTTCATGTATGAGATTACATTATATGTATGAGATTATATTTCATCTATGTGCTACATTTCCTATATGAGATTACATTTCATCTGTGTGCTACATTTCATGTATGAGATTACATTTGATGCATGAGATTTCATTATATGTATGAGATTACATTTCATCTATGTGCTACATTTCATGTATGAGATTACATTTCATGTATGAGATTACATTATATGTATGAGATTACATTTCATCAATCAGATTACATTCTATTGTATGAGATTACATTTCATCTATGTGCTACATTTCATGTATGAGATTACATTTCATGTATGTGTTACACTTCATCTATGTGCTACATTTCATGTATGAGATTACATTTCGTGTATGAGATTACATTATATGTATGAGAGTACATTTCATGTATGTGTTACACTTCATCTATGTGCTACATTTCATGTATGAGATTACATTTCATGTATGAGATTACATTATATGTATGAGATTACATTTCATGTATGAGATTACGCTATATGTATGAGATTACATTTCACGTATGAGATTACATTATATGTATGAGATTACATTTCATCTATGTGCTACATTTCATGTATGAGATTACATTTCATCTACGTGCTACATTTCATGTATGAGATTACATTTCATGTATGAGATTACATTATATGTATGAGATTACATTTCATGTATGTGCTACATTTCATGTATGGGATTACATTTCATGCATGAGATTACATTTCATGTATGAGATTACATTATATGTATGAGATTACATTTCATGCATGAGATTACATTATATGTATGAGATTACATTTCATCTATGTGCTACATTTCATGTATGAGATTACATTTCATGTATGTGTTACACTTCATCTATGTGCTACATTTCATGTATGAGATTACATTTCATGTATGGGATTACATTATATGTATGAGATTACATTTCATGTATGAGATTACATTAGATGTATGAGATTACATTTCACGTATGAGATTACATTATATGTATCAGATTACATTTCATATATGTGCTACATTTAATGTATGAGATTACATTATATGTATGAGATTACATTTCATGTATGAGATTACATTATATGTATGAGATTACATTTCATCTATGTGCTACATTTCATGTATGAGATTACATTTCATCTATGTGCTACATTTCATGTATGAGATTACATTTCATGTATGTGTTACACTTCATCTATGTGCTGCATTTCATGTATTAGATAACATTTCATGTATGAGATTACATTTCATGTATGAGATTACATTTCATGTATGTGTTACACTTCATCTAT